ACCCGCCCCGGCCCCCCCCGACCGGCCCGCACGCCCCTGCCTCCGCCCTTCGAGGCCCTCCTCACCGCAGTGGCTCCTGCACACCACCAGGCCTCGCCCAGCGCTGCTCCTCCCAGCAGAGCACCCTCAGCCCCTGTGCAGACCTGCCCTGCTGCTCCAAGTCCAGCCTCGGCCCTGCTGCCCTCCCTGCTCTTCGTCCAGTTGTCTGCCCCAGACACCCAGAGCACAGGGGCCGCCACCTGGCTGCAGCCCTCCGTGCCCAAAGCTGGCAGCTGGCACACCCTCCGCACAGCCCCTGCCCACCCCGTCAGGCCCACCCTGGCGTGCCCACCTCTGGCCATGATCTGCCACCCACCCCGACCCCGCAGCTCCTGGAACCATCGCCCGTGTCTCCATCCCAAGGGCTCGGCCAGCAGGACTCACCATCGGAGCCTCCCCATGGGTCAGGTGTGGGCCCCTCTCCAGCTGCAGGGGCCGGAGCCCCTCCCCAAGGGTCAACTGAAGGTCCAGCAGGGGCAGCAGGCCTCCAGGGGTCCCCAGAGGCTGGCGTGGGGGTTGGGCCACCCCAGGGATCAGCAGCTGGAGGGCCAGGGGGTCCCCCCCAGGGGTCCGAGGCAGGGGGGGCTGTGGGGATAGCTGCAGCCATGGGCGCTGGGCCCCCCCAGGGGTCCGAGGCCGGCGGAGCTGGGGCTGTGAAGACGTCGGCAAGATCCATGAGGGATGACTGCGGAAGGGAGCAGAGAGGGACTCAGAGCGGCTGAGAGGGGCACGGAGCGAGGGGAGGTAGCCAAGGTGCTGGGTGAGCGCGGCCATCCGGCCTCACGCTCCTCCGGGCCTGCCCACCCCGGCCCACCCCACCTCAAAGCCCCTCTCCCTCAGGGACTCCTACAGGAGGACGGAGGCCAGGCCCAGCTCTGCCAGTGGCTGGGGCTCTCTCGGGGCCAGGCCCGAGCCCAGCCCAGGGCACCCTGAGCAAGCGCCCTGTGCTGCCGCCTCTGCCCCGCTGTCAGCACGACACTGCAGCTGCCCGCACCACACACACACTCCACACCCCACATCCTGCAAGACGGCACACAGCTCACACCCAGCTATCCAGAGCCCCCAGCTCCAGAACTGGAGGTGCGCTCCCCACACACCCCCACGCAGCACCCCAAGACAAAGAGCCCAGGGGAGAAGAGAGCCCAGGGAGAAGTGCTGCCCCAGGGTCATAGCTACCCTGTGCTGGCTGCACGCATGCCCAGAGCTGAGAATGCAGGGGCGGCAGAAGCCTGCCACCCTCGTCCAGCCCTGGGGATGCCTCAGCCCTGCCAACACCGAAGGGTGTCCGTCCACCCGTGCTTCTACCAAGAGGGTCACCGTGGCAGCCACCCACAGCCACGAGGCCAGCTCCCCAACCCAGGCTGGCCGGAGACTGTCTCAACAACAGCATGTGGCCCCTCTAGGCTCTAGGCCTCGCCCTCGAAGCCGGGCGAAGTTGGCCCTTGACACGCAAGTGAACAGGGAGAGGTCACGGAGGTGGCTGAGCGCAAGGCTGCGGCTCACTCCCCTCCCTTGTGAGGGGCCCTGGCCTGAGCCCAGACAGAACTCCCTGCTGAGCCGCCACGGCCAGTCTTCGCAGGACCTTCGGGGACGCTGCAAGGCCTGGGAGGGTCCACCCACTGTCGGATTCGCTGCCCGGAGCCCTCCCTGGCCAGTGAGGCCGGGGGGTGGGACAGCCACCCTCTCCCTGGGGGGGGACCAGCTGCCTGTCCAGGTTCCGCACAGGGGTGACGACAGCAGGCGGCAGCAGTCTCAGGCCTGGTGCTCACCACGCTTGGGGACCTGGCCAGGGCTGGGACGAGTGCGGACGCTCACGGGAGCAGACGGTCAGGAGGGCGCCGCCCACTCACCTCCTCCTTGCCCCCCGTCTCCCTCTTGCTCTCCTCTATGGCCATCTGCAGCCTCAGGTCGTCCCCACGGCGGATCCGCTCCTCC